CATACATACATACATACATACATACATACATACATACATACATACATGTGTGTGTGTGTGTGTACGTGTGTCTGTGTGTGCTCGTGTATGTAACCGTATATCTGTCTTTTAACACAACTGGAATTGTGGCACCCTGTGGTGAATCATCATTCAGTTAATTTTCTGAACCGTGTTAAAACAGACTCACCATCATAGGTAACATATGGAACTTGAAAGCCCTTGCCACTGTTTCCCTCATTGGACTTGAACTGGATCCAAAGCTTGCGAGATCTAGAGGTGAATGCAATGGGTCGTTCATAGGCCTGACATGTCTCGTAGGTTGTAATGGAGGTGGGTAAGGCTGAAAAACAGCACACAATGTGTTTGCACTTCAACATATTTTTTTCATATCACTCTATGTAAGCCTCAAGAAAAAAAGACAATGAAGTAAGCTTTTTTTTCAGGCACCTGTAATTGTCTGTTTTTAATGCTCTGACAGTTTAGAAGCATTATTGTACAATTACTCACGCATTGCAGATGTCAGTTTTGTGCAAAGGGTAACAGGCATTAACATACTACAATTTGAATTCACACAATAATTCAAACTACTGTGAATTGCTATTTCATCAAGTAAATAAACTCAATAAATTTAAGGCACCTTTTTAAAAGTTGGAATTTGATTATTGGAGAAAGAAAACACTGTTTTAATTAATTCACTATTGCTCACAAAATGATCCACCTGTGAATTGTAGCCATCACCTACAGTGAAATGAAAACAACTGCTAATTACAACTGGTATGTGATAGGTTAATTACCATCAGTTACAATAATTGGCATCCAACCAAAGGGTGTCTATTAAAGTAATAAAAATAAATAAATAAAAACACATTGTAAATAGAATATATCCTATCCATGACTACATTTGTTTCCCCACCCAACTAATCATTCTTGGATTCTGACTTAAAATAAACTTGGTGCCTCATGTTTGTGAATAACGGAATACACTGTCCATAATTTGCTGATTAATATCTTGTTTGAAAAATTGTATGGCTGGAAACTAATCAGAATGATGCCTTCTCCACTTCAATCACACAGTTATAGGCTTGCAGAGAGTCTGTAGCCTACCCCAGCTGTCATTGGGCAAGATGAAGGGCATGCCCTACGCAGGTCACCAGTTAGCTACAAAACCATTTCGAGACAAAGAAGAAAGACTACCACAAAGACTTAATTGCACTCACCAATTAACTTAACATGCATGTTTTTGGACGGTGCTACCACCACACCACTGTGGTTTCCCAGATGTAGATTCACATTTCCCTTATGTAATTTGTTTACGATTTTGGTAGTTAATCAACTGTCTGGTCATATTGATTATAGTACTTATGAAGTCTACTATTTAATATTTTATTTAAAATCCATCATGGAAATCTAATTCAAGTAGTTTTACCACTCTTTCTCATCACCAGCACGTCTCCACACTCATCTTCAATTGGCAGAAAGATCTCTGGCACCACAATGAGGATCCGCCTCTTGTGTGGGGGATTTATGGTCCAGACACAGTCCACATTTGATGGGTAATCTCCTGGGTAGTTAGGAGACTCGATATAACCAGTGTACTCTCCCAGTTCACCTCCACACATCCGGTCTGATGATTGAATGAGAATAAGAATACTTTTGAGTGTGTTTGATTTCACCATTTGAATTCGCCAAACTCTTCGAAACACGACCATTAGGTCCACTATGACTCTACATATCCTTATCCTACATTTGTATAAAAATCTCAGATAAGCAATTTAAAATAAAATTAAACATAAATTAAACGCTCACAGGGGGACATTACTTTTGCAGTGGGAAACATTGGTGGCACCATCAAAGTCAGTTGTAGTGTTTCCTGGGCATGTGATGCAGTAGTTCTGCCCAAATTCAGACTGATAGGTCCCAGCTGGGCAGCGAATACACCGGTGGGTACTGAAGTTGTAGTAATGTCCAGGAGCACAGTGTACTAAGAGAAATTAAGCAGTCAGTGATACTAGACAACAGTTGAGTAAACATAGAAACTTCATGCTATTGAGAGAAAATAATATTCACATGTATTACATGACAATTACAAAAAACTTAAAACCCATTCAGACCTACATATCTTAATATGTCCTACATATTTGTTGCCTGGGGACTGTCTGTTGCCAGGGTAGCCTGGGAAGTTGAGTTTTTCTTCTGGTCTGTGGTGGCTGGGGTGCAGCTGATCCTGTGGGTGCCCACCGGGCTATACCTTCAGGCCATTTGATTTATCTATCTTTATTCATTTTCTCTCATTATTGAATTCACTAATACTTTTTAATTCCATCACTACCTGCAGGTTTTCCTGGCTCTAGAGCTGTGGAGTTTGGATCAGTGGTTGGGAGTCTCCTCCTATAACTTCCTGCAGGTGTTCCTGGCTCTGGAGCTGTGGAGTCTGGATATGCGTTTGGGAGTCTTCTGCTGCCCCTGTGTTCCTACTCAACACCCTCTGCTACAATTGCAACTATGGTTCATAGTCCTATTGTTTTTATTAATGTTATCATTACCATTAACATTACTACCAATGTCTGTAACATGCATCCAGCCTATAGCAACACTACCACTACCTTTACTGTACTTCTGTGTTACTGTATTGGCTAACTCCCCCTGCTTGTTTTGCTCTCCTTGTCCTTCTATCCCTCTCTCATCCCCAACCGCTGAGGCAGATGGCCGCCTACCCTGAGCCATGGTTCTCCTCGAGGTTTCTGCCTCTTTAAAGGAAGTTTTTCCCGGCCTGTGTCGACTAGTGCTTGCTTTTGGTGGAAATTGTTGAGCTTCTGTAAATAACTTCAGAGTAGGGTCTTTTTGGAAAGCACTGTGAGATAACTGTTGTTGTGATTTGGCGCTATGGAAATAAAATTGAATTGCTTTTTCAGTGATGCGAGTGTGTGTGATGGACTGGCAACCTATCCAGGGTGTCCCCTGCCTCTTTTCCATTGTCTGCTGGGATAGGCTGTAAGGGACAAGCTGTCTATATAAGCTTCTTACTCATTCAATTCTTGACAGGTTCTTATATCAATCCTCGCTTCCTTGTTATTTCTTTCTATGCTGTTCTCATTGTTTTTCTCTCCCCTATGTCAGATTCCCTTAGTTCCTGTTTTCTTAGTGTGCCTGGTTTTGCATCCTCCTTCCCAAAACTCTGTTCCAAGACAAAGGGGCCTTTTCATCCATACGTTTTCCTTGGTAAAGCAAATAATATAATGCTGAACAGAAGGTTAAAAAAAAACATATGGACTCTGTCTATTTGTTTATGACTTATACAAAACAATCAGAATAAGTGTAAAACTAAAACGCAGAGGTAATATTTACATGTTGGAATATAAATGTAGTATCTGTTATGTGAGGATGGTGAGGTCTGTGACAGGGGGCCGTGGTTTTAGAGTTTTATAGGTGTGTTGCATGTACAGATGAAATACTAAACTTGATTGATCAAATTTGACAGGCTTTAAAACTCCCACACTGTGTATAAAATACTGATATATTTATCGGGCTTGTATCCCAGATGCAGTGAGTAATGTGTAAAATGATTCTAATAATGATCTATAAGTGCACTCTTTCATTAATGAAATTGGTGTTCAAAATGTGCCAGTGTGCAAACATTTTTTTAAATTCAAGCAAAATGCAGGAAACCCTTCTAACAACCCCTCTTTATCCCTTTAAATCCCGATCCAAGAAAAATAGGAAGAATATTGGACTTTTTTAGTCTGAAGTCTTTCTGTGGCCCCTCAACAACATATGAAGAAAAAAAAAGAGAAATTATTTTGATCAAATCAGCGTGCAATAAGTCAAAAATATATTTTGGTGTACTGGTTGTTATCAGGTAAATCTGAATGTGTACAACAGGGGTTTGGGCAAAGCTTTTACCATTGAATGATGCAAAAAGTCTCAGAATCCAAAAGACTTCAGATACCGTATGTATCAAATATGATACATTTGGCATTATAGGGTTAAACATGGATATATGTATAAAAATGTGTTGAAATTGTTTAATTTTAATCTCTTTTTTAATGCACAACCCGTATAGGCCTTAAATTGAAAAGTCAAACTGAAATGAATAATCTATTCTATAATTTAGCATCCCATAATCCCTGTCATTTCTAGTATACAAAGGTCAAACCACTTTGCTTTATTTTATGTGGTTGTTATGTGCCAACCAATCAGCAGCAAGTCTGCTTTGCTCTGAGTTTTTTTTTTTACATCAATTTTGTAGGGTTTTCTCATGTATTTTGAAAACTAACATAATTTTAACCTAAACATTTTAAAGTATTATATTATCGGAAAATGTGGAGAAGGTGGAGTGCAAGCTTCAGCTTGCCCTCATTGGAAACACTTTGCCAAACAACTGTGACAAGTTGGAGGCGCTTGTTCAGAACTAACGATTGTACAAGGGGAACAGTTTGGTATGTTTGTCTGGGTCCTTGCTGAAGATCAACTAGCCTCATACGAGGACACAAGTACACTGACACCGATTAGTGGTAGGAGGAAAGGTGGGGGTATTATCTTGTTTTCGAATAACAAATGGACTTTTAAATATGGATCACAATGTGGCCTTTGGAGAGGGTATTTTGCCAAGACATTGAACAGCTAATGTGGTTATCTGAGGCCAGTGGTTCAATGAGAGACTGCTTTGATATCAGTACAGTTGCTGCAGAAGGAAGAAATGGACATGGGTATGGAAAGTAGAGTCAGCACAATCACTGGCTACATTAACATCTATTAGGGCTAATGTGATTCTTGTAAGGACTGTAACGTGCTAACCCAGTTATCCCAATTAAAATCCATCCATGGCTTACCAGTGAGATTAGAGACCTCCTAAACCCGAAAAAGAAGGTGTTCCAGGATGGGGATGAGGGCACAAGAAGAGGTTTAAAAAAAAACAACTACATTCAGCTAAAGTCGAATACAAGAAAAACAGCCCAGGTGGCTCTGTCAATACTGCACAGTTGTACATATCTGTAGTTAAATTACTACCAATATTTTATTATAGGAATAACATTATTTTTGGTTGTAATGTTACTTGCTGTAACATTACAAATAAAGGATAATCTGATCGTGTCTCATCTTATGTCTAGGGATTCTGAGCTTGGCTGTGGCTGATTCTGAGCTGTGCAGGCCGCAGGACACACACACACACACACACACACACACACACACACACACA